CGGTATTTCCTGAAAACTAGGTTTCCAATTATTGTTACAGGTAGCATTTAAAAATACAGTTAGAAAGCGAACGGTTCTTGGGGTGCAAATTTGCATATTGTTCTGATTACCGTCCCGTGTACGAGGATTCCCAGCAGCATAAGCGAACATGGGCTGACGTCCTAGCACTAACGGCCAGCTCTTCGACTTCCTGGTCACCTTTATGGAACTTACACAGATGCTCTGTGGGCTGGTAGCGAGCTTCGGGAAACAGGTCTGTTTTTGGTAAAATACCACCTTGTAGCGTCTAATAGGTCAGAGCAACATTTGAATCTCCCGCTATCCAAAAGCGGAACTTCCTCTGATGCTGCAGATCTCCCGCCTGCCCATGTTCTTTTGTGGTATCTGTTTCCTTCTCTCTCCCGTAGCACTTTGCCTAGGGCTTTCGAGTCCTGGCTAAGTATTTTATTATCTAAGATTCTTTACAAACCTGATAGATTGGCTGTAGTTCTCCAGTAACGGAACAGCAGTTATTTTTACTGACCGTTTAGTCACTTTACTAAATTTTTAAAAAGCTCTTAATCACTGGATTTTTTTTAATTATTAAGAGCACAGTCATCTCCCCACTCCACAGACTTTTTGCAAACCTACAAAATTCACAGAATTTTCAGTGTTCAGCTCACCTGTGTGGTCACATAATATAAAGTTCGGCTCTGAAGCTTTCTAACCACCCTTTTCTGTAACTTGCAGTCTTTTCCGAGCCCATCCCCCTCTCCTGCCTCCAGCTCCCCTTTTCCTGCTCAGTTCAGAAACCGTGGAGCGATCTTGACAAAAGAGAGACCCAAGGCCGGTTCAGAACGCAGAGAGGAAGCACCGTGGAAGTAGATGACTTAACTGTTGTGGGCTGAGCTCTTGAGATTTGGAAGCCTACGGTTTGTGATCACATAATGCCCAAGAGACTAAATCCTGGGAAATAGAGTCGGACGCTTCCCTCATTTCTCCAGAAACTTCAAGGTAGGGGCTTCCTTCAGGAAGTTAGGTGGAAAAGGTTCGGTGGCTTGCATCACCCATAAATGGAAATATCAAACCCACCCAAGAATGGCTACCACTGTCCTTAAAAAACATTCCTAACCAGCCTCCTGGACCAGTCTATCTGGCCTCCCATTTATTGTCTCAAAAACATACACATAAAGACACAAACAAGTCTATTTTTCAGGTTCCCAAATTACAACAGAATTTCAACTTTTCTCATCACCTTGATTTTAGTTTGAGGTAATACTGACACTCTTTCATCCATAGCGAATTTCGTTTTCATGCCAAATTCGCCTTTTTTGGCTTTGTATCTTTCCTTCACAGCCATTGGATGGTTCCGAACTTGACAAAACTAGAAATTCTGTGCTATTGCCACAGGCCCTGCATTGTCCAGCCCTCACCTAACTCTCCAAGCCAACCTCAGAGGACTTTTTCCTTTTTGTTTTTGTTCATTTCTTATTTTTTCGTTTGGGTTTTTTTGGTTTCTTTTTTCTGCACCTCTACAGTTTCTCAACTACAAAGGCCTGGCTGCCTGCTTGTATTCACTGTGGGATGGCAGCAGCAGCCGATTTGATGACTTCAGCATTCTGTTTATTGATATGGCTTGCATTATTTTTCATTCAGAGATGTGTAAGTTTGCAATTCAGAGGCAATTGAATTGGGGACTGGACATATAACTTTTGAAAATTTTTAAAATAATTTAATGTCAGCATGGCATGAAAATAGAGGGTTTCAAGAAAGACTTTCAAACTGGTGTGATGTCTAGTAGGCTGAGAACAAGAGCTTTGGACACAGAAAATGGAGAGCACTGGGAACTCAGGTTACAGATACTAAAGGGCAACCCACACATCATCTAGACACCTTCAGGGCTCATGATTATTCCCTCTTCCGTGGGGAAAAACCTCCACTTAGAGCTGAGCCCAAAGTGTGAGAATTATGTTGATACCCTTTCAGTTGTGCCACTGTATCTTATTGATGCAGACATCTGCCCAAATAGGGCAGATTTGTTTGCTTGAAATTGGGAAAACTGACGAAAGAAAAATACAGGCCTGAGTGTTCAGCATTTCCCTAAGCATGGTCAAAAAAGTTTCAAGAGATTTTAATTTGCTTAAATTACCTGAAATTGTTTTGTTATGTTTGCATCCAAAAAACTTTCATTAACACACTTGCTACTTCTTAAGGATATATGTAAACATGTTTCTTTAAACACATACATAAACATATTATCCTATGTTGTCACAGTCAGTCCTCACAAAAACACGAAGTTTCTCCTACATTATAGATAAGGGAACAGTGGTTAGTAACTTGCCACAGATCACAAAGAAAATGGCAGTTCAGAATTTCAACTGTATGTCTTCATGGTTTCAAAATGCCCGTTTCGTTTCTCTGAGCCTCTTTCATGTCATGAGAAATAAGAACACTAATAATAATAACAACCGTCAAAACACAGCATTTTCCGAGGCCATGTACTGGCCAAAATGCTTAAAAACATTTAATGTTATTTACCCCCTATCAGAGAGGATCTACTGTTATCTCCAGTTTACAGATGAGTAATTATGCACAGAGGATGACTTAACCAAAGACACAAAGAGTACAAGCTTCCTTCTGTACAAGTTTTCCGGTTCCTTTTTATCTTTGAAGAGGGATATTGGGACTGTTTCTTGTAAACATAATATATGATTTAGATTTACTCAGTGACACTGACTACTATTTAGACCCCACTAAATATTTACCAAGAATAGCAATGGAAGGTAAGTTCAAAGAAAGCCTTAAGAAAAAGTTCACGGACTTCTGCCTTAAACAGCCTAAAAATAAACTCCCCACTGTTTTTATTTACTCCTAAATCTTGTGAGATACAGTTTGGGCCTTTACGCCTCTGAGAATCAAAAATTTTCAAAATTTTTCAAAATCTCTCTTGCATTCTGAGTTACACAGTGTAAAGGTCTCATCTCACTTGTCAAGAACATATAGATCTATTGCACACAGTGAATAAATACATGTGCCAAATTTACTGCTGTTTGATGTGTTCTTTATGCATTTGGTCTGCCCTTTTCTCTGTAGCCCTAAATTTTGGATTTCTACAACCTGACTCTAAAATCCTAGACTCCAAGTTGTTCACAGGAATCCATGGAGCCCTGGGAATTGCTTGAATGAGCTCCATGAAATACCTGTATTACATACACATATATATGAACATATTCTCAAAGGAGCTTCTGATTCACATATTGAGAACTACTCCTAAGGGGAGACAGTACTTTGAAATATCCAGATTACATCTGTTTAAGGCATGTGGATATTCCATTCATCCATCCCTAACAGGTAACGAGCCCTTATTCTGTGTTCTAGCACGGAATACGATGGAAGAAATACCAAGGAAAGAGTTGAAAAAAAATGAGTTGAAAAAAAAAGTACTTGGTAGGGTAAACTTTAGTTATTATAAAAGAGGCTCAACAGTAAATTAGCTTAAAGACAGTTAAGTCTTGTCACTTGGAACAGATCCACTGTGATCAGTCCAGCTCTGTGGTGAAGCGCTGCTCCTCCTGATCAGGATCTTTTTTTCCTTCCAAGTCATTGTTCCGCCATCCCTAGCGCCTGAAGTTCTCTGCTGGGCCAGACAAGATCAACACCTTCATAGAAGGCAGCAAGAAGGATGAAGGCTCTAAAGCCTGGGAATGTCTTCTACTTATGCTTATTAGAGAGCAGGTAGCCACATGCTCACCCCTGCTCTCAGATAAGCCAGAAATATTGCTTCAGGCCCGGGAGGTATCTGTCCAGGTATTCCTTTGTTATAACAAAGTGAACAAGTTTTAGTTGAAAAAATGCCAGTTGTACTACAATAACCTAAGATTTTTTCACAGAATAAAACCCATTCTGAGGACACCAAGAATACAGTGGCAGGCTGACAGTCCTGAGAGATTGTAGACACTTTACAGCAGGTAACAAGAAACAGGTAACGTGCTTGAGAACCGCTTGCCTCATTTTCTGCTGTTAAGTCAAGACTAGAATCATGAAAACCTGGGTTTGAAAGGCTCACTCCAGGCTTTTTGTCAGGTTATGTGGCACGCAACCAATTTATGAGAGTATTTCAAAATTGGCTGTAGTTAACTGTTACTCAAGATAGAGCCAAAATAACTTGGTAAACATAAACCGGTATACTTATACCAGACAGATGCATCAATAGGTTCTTTTTGATTGTAAAACAGTAACTCTGGTTGGATGGGAAAGACAAGTCAGCCTGTCTCCACTACACTTTTGAAGAGGAAACCTCACACTTTTCTCTGGTAGAACTTGACTGTCTTCAGCATTACCAGTCCTCTTCTTTCTCAGGTCCCTTTACCATGTAACTTTTAACAGATTTTCTCAATATCCTTAGCTGAGGAGTGTCTACATAATTAGTTCTTTTCCCGATTTTCTACCACCAGACTTGACCTCGTCTTCCATAAAACTTCCCAGCTGGGTTTCGCTAACAGTTGTGCAAAATAGTTTTATCACCATAGGTTAGCCTTATTGCTCCAAAGATAATACATCGCACATAAGCCAAACCTGCTAAAGCCTGAAACATACGTTCATCTAAAACGTTTACGTTTACAGGTTGTCGACAGTACTTACCTGCTTAAATACCTTATAAAACTAAAACAAAGCGTTAACTCTTTTAAGTGAGCGGATAGGTGGCCCTGAAAAGGGCCTTTGGTTTTCCCGTGCTAAGTGAGGCGATCAGTAGTTTAGCCGCCGAAGCCGTAGAGAGTGCGTCCCTGACGCTTGAGCGCGTAGACCACGTCCATGGCCGTGACAGTCTTGCGCTTGGCGTGCTCGGTGTAGGTGACGGCGTCGCGGATCACGTTCTCCAGGAACACCTTCAGCACCCCGCGGGTCTCCTCGTAGATGAGACCTGATATACGCTTGACACCACCACGACGAGCAAGACGCCGGATCGCGGGCTTAGTGATACCCTGGATGTTATCGCGCAGCACCTTACGGTGGCGCTTAGCGCCTCCTTTTCCAAGCCCCTTTCCGCCTTTACCACGTCCAGACATGGCGAAACCACACCTATCAGCCTCCGAGTGTAGTGCTCTCAGTAGCGCCACTAGGAGCTTTTATAGTAGTCTGACGGACCTGTTTGAAAACCGCGAAAGCAGGGGCGGGAACCACAGTCGGTCCAGCCCTTCGTTTATTTGTCCCTTGCTCAGAGCCGTAGTGACTAGGCGGGGCGCCTAAAGCGACAATGGATCCTGGAAGTGAAATTTAATCAAGGTTCCTATACGTGGATTCGTGTTTTTGTGTATTCATACAATAAGTGAAGCCATTAAATAGGGCAATAATTCATAGACTTTCCATAAAGAAACCCGATGCTTGTTCTTCAGATTTCCCAGAATATGAAGTAGTTAATACAAGCTATTGTCCCTAAAACTCTTTAAACACGGTTTTAAAGAAATCCTATATTTATTGTTTAATTTTCCATTAGTTTTATCCACGTGTGGTTGTTCCGTTATCTAAGCAGAGCTCTTTATCACACAGTCTGGATAACCCTACTGAGGAAGCTAAGAATATAAAGTTAAACGTTTGAGAGATCAAGTAACGTTAAAAGTCACTGAGAGCTACATTGGAGATTTATAAATATGTATATCCCAAAGTGATAAGAACCTTGCTCTACTGGAAGTCTAAGATTTATGGTTTGATTGTGTATTTAATTATGGACAGGTTTTATCTGGCACTGTATCTGTCACCACATTCTATTTCTCCAACCACTTGGCATTACAGTGACCAGCCAAGTTCTGGAGATAGCCTGCTCCACATACTAGCCTGTGACTTTGGGCAATCTATACTTTTTTTTCTTCTTTTTTTCATTTTAAATGTGCACAAAGATGTTGGGTGAGGATATAGCTCAATTGGTAGTGTGCATGCTTAGCATATACAAGGTCCTAGGTTCAATCCCCAGCACCTCCTCTAAAAATTAGTACATTAAACCTAACTAACCCTCCCTCTCCAAAAGATGTATAGGAAGGTATAAATTACAGAGCACTTAAATTTAAGAGATAATCCAAAATGTTTAAAATAATATCAGGAAATAAGCAATTACTCAACAACATTTATTATGAAATATTGTACTACTGTGGCTGCTCTCAACTCCTCCTTTCAGTATTCACCCCTCTAAAGTGAGGAGCCTAAGCAAGTGTCTAATTTGCAAAACCCTTGTTTTGTGAACTCCTCAAAATAATAAATACATAAAGATTTAATTTCTCATTATTTCCCTTGAGCTTCAGCTGACTTTGGATAGATTTGGCTGTTTACTCCATGGTAAGGAGGACCCTGTTCATCAAAGCTCTTCCATGAGTTTACAGTGCATGGAAACAAATTCTACAATGGAATTGTTAACCTGGGATATATAGATGGGCTCAGAGCATCTGGAAACTTACATAGAACAAAAATTCCATCTTTATTTTTACTATACTCCAATTGGATCTTAGTGTTTCCTCCTCTTGTGAAAATGTAGTCAACAAACAGGGTGATTGGCAGGACCCATGCTCTGTTCTATTACGTTGTAATCACAGCTGTCAATGTCTCAAAATATTGTTTAAATATATTCCTCTTCCTAAAATGTGGTGATTTATGGTCATATGGGTAATCTCATTATTTAACATATTAATAAAGAAGCACATGTTAATACTTCACCAATTCGGATTTTTGTTAAATTTGACAATGGTATTTTTATATAACTGTTTTCCTTTATAATCCTGTGTATATTATTTTAAGCATTGAAAAGCATTATTCTGGGAAGGAGTTCATAAACTTTATCACACATACAAAGAAGTCCATGGTACAAAAATGGTTAAGAATCCCTCTTCTCCAGGATCTTGAAAGTCTGGGAAGATGCTGGGTTTCAAAAATGTGCAGAGAGAAACATTGGGAAATTCCATGAATGCTGGAATGAAACTTATATATTAGTAAAAGTACTCTGATAGAGCTAAGGGTAAATGGAAACAATTGTCTCCACTTATGAATAGTAAGAGGTCATTTCCTCTTCCTCTCAGAGAGTTTTCTTGGAGAAATAGTGAGTCTGAGTTTTCACTCTTCCCTTAGGAATACAGTGACATTTTTCTAGGGATTAAGCCCAGTCTCCAGTTTTTACAATGGAAAGAAATCTCCTAGGTTGTAAGCCGAATAACCACTAGATATGTAAAAATATACGTCTGTCATTAGCTTAGGAGTCTTTCACAACATACACATGAGAGGTGAACATGTGAAGTTGAATGGGGCGATACCATGAAGATTCTCTACACTTAGATACCTAAGAGATAACTCTTCCTTTGTGTTGCTGCAGAAAACCAACTATAATGAGTTAAGGTCATTTTTAGCTTAGGAATGCATGAATCAATAACAAGTAAATATACATTCCAAGTAAAAATGTTTATATTGAACTGATTTCTCCTCTCATATCATCCATTTCAATTGCTCTTAATTTTTAATTTTTATTAGTATTCATTAATGTTTTCATGTTTAACTTGAATATACTGCATGAAGTGCTCAGTCATTTGTTGATTTTGATGCGACCAAAGAGGAGTATTAAACCCTTACCTCTTGGGCTTTGTTCTGTCCATTCCCAGCATTTCTCTCTTCCATAGTCCTAGGGAAACATGCTTCAAAATAAACATAATATATTTTTTTAAAAAAACATAGCTTCAGAGTGAAAAATAAAAATGACTTTCTACCATCAATCTATTTCCCACTGAATATAAATCATAAGCTATAATGCTTCCTATAAACTTATATCCTTGCTTAAGTAAGAAATGTAGTAGTCAATATAAAACATACTTGCTTTTAAATTTCCCTCTCTTAAAGAAATTCTATATAAGCATGTGTGAAAGTGTTGTACATGTGTCTATTCCTTAATTCTGTTACTTGAAAGCTTTGGTAAAGTTTACCTTCCTTAACAATGACAGACCTCTGTACCCAAGAGCTGATGAACATTTTAATAACTGATCATCCCTGATAAAGTCAATGTAAATGAAAGAATTTTTTAAACCCATAAAGGGGCCCAACTCTCCTTTACATCTTTACCTGGAAGTCCTCTGCCATCAGCTATTGCAAAACAGGCCCAACCAATATGTCAAAATCATCATTGATCATTGCATTTGTCATTTTCCTAAACAAATTTTGAAAGATTGAAGCTCCCCAGTTAACTAACCCTCGAAATACTCACAAGGAGCTATGATAAAGCTTTTTCAGACGAAACAATAACCTGTCTTATCAGAAATTGCTGTTATTCCAAGGATCCTTTACTATAGCTGTTGTAGAGAAATCCTGAAAGAGCATGTGTTATTTCTCCTCATATGAAGCATATTTTGGGGGTAAATCTCAATGAGAACCAAGCAGTTGTTGAACGGATGGAAATCCACGAATGTGTAGAATGTCACTGGAAAGCAAGCTATTGAAAACACAAAGGGAAGATTTTCTATTATAAATGAAAATCAAAAAGTTGCCTTTCTGACCTGTGAATCTCTAGGAATATCAGGGGCTTTTGCAAAAGTCTAAGACCGACGTGATAAACACTGGAGGAAGAAACTACGAAGGTCTCAAACCTTGAGCTGTCCTGGTTCATGATTGAATATAAGTGGTGTGATTCCTAAGCAGGAAATTTTAATATGTTGGCTTTCCTGAATTGTAACAAACACAACTCAGGGGCAGAGCTGAGACTAAGTTGCTGTCAAGCTGGAAGTCCGCTGGGAACCAATCAGCGCGCAGTGGCGCTGTGTGTGTGTATATATACACACACACACTCCCGGACCAGGCTACTCAACTCTTGAGACTTTACTTTCCTTTTTTATTATTGCTTTTGATCAACAATAGTGTCTGAGACCGTACCTGCCGCACTTCTTGCTCCTCCTGCAGAAAAGACTCCTGTGAAGAAAAAAGCTCTTAAGTCCATCGTTGCCACGAAGCGCAAGGCATCTGGGCCCCCGGTGTCGGAGCTGATCACCAAGGCTGTCGCCGCTTCCAAGGACCTCAGTGGCGTGTCCTTGGCTGCGCTCAAGAAGGCACTCGCGGCCGCTGGCTACGATGTAGAGAACAACAGCCGCATCAAGTTAGGACTTAAGAGCTTGGTGACCAAAGGCACCCTGGTGCAGACCGAGGGTACTGGCGCCTCGGGTTCATTTAAGCTCAACAAGAAGACAGCCAACGGGAGGCTAAGCCTAAGGTTAAGGAAGCAGGAGCAGCCAAACCTAAGAAGGCTGCTGCGGCAGCTAAGAAGCCCAAGAAGGCGACGGGCGCGGCTACCCCGAAAAAAAGCACTAGTAAGATCCCCAAGATGGTGAAGAAGGCAGTGACGACTTCCAGGGCCAAGAAAGTGGCCAAGAGCCCGAAAAAGCTGAAAACAGCCAAACCAAACAAGGTGGCTAAGAGCCCAGCCAAGGCCACAGCTCACAAGCCCAAGGTAGCCAAGCCTAAAGCAGGCAAGCCAAAAAAGCGGTCCCAAAAAAGTAAGAAAATTAAACTAGCTGAGTACCTTAAAGGCTCTTTTCAGAGCCACCTAAAGAGCTCAGGAAATGAGCTGTCGCACTCTAGAAGGGGGTGTGGCTGGGAGAAGGTTGCCAGTGAGGGGCGGGCCTCGGAGGATGGCCTGAGAGATGGGTCTTACGGAGCGCCTGCACCGAAATGGGTAGGCGCTTTTTTTTGGAGTCTGTCTTATCGGGGATAGAAGGGCGGGGAAATCGGTTTGGACATTAAAGTTTACCTTGTCTCCGATTCTGGAGCCCTGAGAAAAATAGTGGGCCTGTAGCAGTTGGCTTTACGGAAAAGGAGAAATTTGGGGACAAAAGGCTGTCGCTTTCGCCGTTTCCCAAGCACTATAATCTGTCGATATTAGAAGATGTGAAAGATGAACCACCGTACTTATTTCCCAAACAATTTTTTTTTTTCACAAGCAACAGAAGTTCCCGGGACTTTTGATTAGGGAATGTGAGCTTTAAGAGGATGACAAAGGCCAGAGGTGGTGGTTGCGGATGGCCAACTGCCCAGGGCCAGGGACGATGACCTGCCCTTATCAAACAGCCTGCCCACCCACCCCAGCTGTATATCACATGACCCCTAAGTGCAGGGACCGAGACCAAATGTAGGAAATTTTCCAAGGGAACAGAGAACTTGCCTCCGGCCACGTGGAAAACCAAGCTGTTATTTACACGTCCCTGCTTTCCATGAAATACACTGCAATCGCTTGAAAAGCCTATTTATACTAGCTATGGATATACTAGCTACACTAGCCTACTCTATGCCCTCTGATTGGGTAAAGCAAAGAAAAGAAATAGCCAATGAAGAGGTAGACCTGAAGAATTATTTACATTCCTCATTTGTGACGCTACAGTAAAATTAATCCAATCACGAGCGAAATCTTACTAACCTTATTTGAATACCACATCTATAAATATATGGGTCATCGTGGCGGACGATTATTTCTCCAAGGGTTGGCCTTGATAGTGTTAACTTTTAACGCCAGAATGCCTGAACCGGCTAAATCCGCTCAGGCCCCGAAAAAGGGCTCCAAGAAGGCGGTGACCAAGGCTCAAAAGAAGGACGGCAAAAAGCGCAAGCGGATCCGCAAGGAGAGCTACTCGGTGTACGTGTACAAGGTCCTGAAGCAGGTCCACCCGGACACCGGCATCTCGTCCAAGGCCATGGGCATCATGAACTCGTTTGTCAACGACATTTTCGACCGCATCGCGGGCGAGGCGTCGCGCCTGGCGCATTACAACAAGCGCTCGACCATCACTTCCCGGGAGATCCAGACGGCCGTGCGCCTGCTGCTGCCCGGGGAGCTGGCCAAGCACGCCGTGTCCGAGGGCACCAAGGCCGTCACCAAGTACACCAGCTCCAAATAAACTTGCCAAGTAAGCGTTTTTACACCTAATCTCAAAGGCTCTTTTAAGAACCGTGTATGTTTTCATTAAGTGAGTTGTGATTCTTTTATTCCAATGGCGACTTTTCAGATTTGTCCTGCCAAATTTAAAGCTCTGCCACCATTGTTTAATTTGCTAATGTACCTGCGTAGGGAATGGTTGTAGGAAACCTAGCCATTATGTGCCATAAACTGCGCGCTCACGCACGTACAGTTACATAAAACCATAAATTATGTAGTATCACATAGCCAGATATTAACTAACTTGCACTGAAAATGCCATTTCAAGTGTACAGCTTTCCTTTCCGTGTGTAGGTCTGCAAGTTGATCCTGCCGTTAATCCGGGATTTGGCGATCAACTCATTCTGCTTAGAATTTTTCTTTTCCGTTTTCCTTTTTTTAAGCGTATAGTCATTGTTTCGGGAAAAAAGGCTGAAGATGGTGTGAATTTTCACAGAAATAATTATAAAGGGTTTTCTGGTTTGCTTTCTTGAAAATTGGTCCGATTTCCTCTTGAGGCTCTGAGCAGCGGGTGGGGGAGGTGGGGAAGGAGCCTGTGCTCTATCCTAAAGGCACCGAGGGAGAAGAGCAGGAAGCCTTTGACACGACTTCCAATCAATCCTATCAGTTACTTTACCTTCATTCTCTGAAAGTCCAATTTATAGTCTTTCGGCAGCATTCAGATTTAAGGTCCTCAGGGTTACAAGACGGAAACCCACTCCTCAATACGTTAAGATGTCTTGACTTAGGTCTGACGTCCCCGTTTACATCACCGTTTCGTCTTTCCCGGATGTCTCCAAGCATTGAGGGAGGAGAGGACGTAGAAAGGGAAGAAAAGCCCCTTCTGGCAGGATGTAGTTTTGCTGCACCATGTAGGATAGCTTTAAGGGTGTTCGCTGCTGGAATAGATTTGTGGGGAAGTTGAATCTCTGGAATCTCGAAAAAGGGGTTGGGAGGGAGGAGCCTGGAGGAAAGGAATCAATGGTCAGAGGTCACCAAGAAAATTGCAAAGTAGACGAGGCTGGAAAGGGAGGAAAGTGCTGGTTGAGGTGGAGAGTTTAGAAAGGGGGTATTGTTGGCTAAGAGGGGAATGAATTTAGAAACCCTAGGGTTTGGGAGAAGGTGAGAACCCTAAACAGGTGCTCTGGATTACGGGGATAGATTTTCCATAATAGGGCAAGTGGGTACTTTGGGTGGACAATTAAAATCCAAAATAATACTTAAATTTACAAAACACTGAAGAGCCACTATGAAATAAGGAACTCTCATTCCCAGCTGCTTGACCCAGGGAAACCCCAAACACCACAGCTAGCTTTCACCCAAACCTGAGCTTTGATTTTTAGAGTGTTAATGTGAAGCCTGTCCGTGGTGGGGAGCATGATAAGGACTCTTTCCCACTGAAGCTGAGACACTACACCAAAATGAACTAGAAATAAACACACACTCACCACAAATGATTGCAAAATCTGCCCTGACCCTTGGTGCTGAACAAGTAGATACCACCACTGAGAATTTGGCCTATAAGCCAGCCTTCACACTTAACTTGTTTCAGCATTAATACCACAGGGATTCAAAACAGCTAGGCTGAGAATTTAATTTAGAGATAATCCCAACTGGTTTGGCGCTCCTGAGCACCTGATAAAAGCAAACAGAAGTCCTCTCTCTAAGAATAAGTTTCATTTTAGGTCTCAACTAATCTCCACAGATAAATATACAAGAAAATGAAAGCAGTTTCACAACCAAAATTAACCAGACACACCATGAAACAAGTAACCTTGACTAAGAGCAATGAACTATGATTAAAAAAAATCTAACATGAAAATTTATTTAAAATATAGATATTGAAACTGATGACTGAGTGATAGAAAAAAATGTTTAAAGTGTAAGTTAACATATTAAGAGTTAGCAGAAAATAAAAGAAGAAAAAACTAAAGAATTGAGTCATGAAAGTGTGTAAGGAGATTCTTGATTTGTGCCTAAAAGCCCTAGTAAATTGTACTATGGAAATACCTTTTTTTTTTTAAATAAATCATTGAAAGAGTATAAGTTAATTCATTTAGTAGATAGTCATTGACTATGTCTGGCGTAGTCATCTGCATGGGCACTGGAGATTCAGGGAAATAATGGTCGTCCTTGACCTGCTAAAGCCCTGTTTTGTAAGGCTGTCAAGGAAGCTTACAATTAACTACTTTCGTTTTCCTTTTTCTTTCAATAAGAACCAAAAAAGTGTTTATCACTCGTTGCAAACCTACAGGCAGGTAAACAGACTTGGGCTCCTATGGGAACTACCATATTCATGCAATTGATGCAAAAAAAATCATCAATTTTTTTAGTAATAAACAATATACAGTAATATTAATACTATTGTGACACAGTGCAATGCTTAGGAACAGTCCATAAGACTGCACTCACATCTGACACCAACTGCAGGGTTCAGAGTTCTCTCCAAAGCCACCCTTGGATTAGATAATTTAATAGAAGGACTCACAGAACTCACCAAAAGCTATTATATTCAACATTAGGGTTTATTATACTAAAGGACACAAAGCAAAATCAGCAAAGGGAAGAGACACGTGAAGTAGAGTCTAGTCCTTTCCCAGTGGAGTCATGGAGCACTAACAACACCTCCCTGCAACAAATGTGTGACAGCACAATGCATATCACCAACTAGGGAAACTCAGCTAAGCCTTGGTGTCCAGACTTCTATTACATCTTTCACATAGACACGATCAACCACTTGAACAGGAGCACAGGGAAATACAAGATCTTCTGGTAGCTCACAGAGAAAAAAAAAATGTGACAATGAATATATGTATGTTAATGTATAACTGAAAATTGTGCTCTACACTGGAATTTGACACAAAATTGTAAAATGATTATAGCTCAATAAAAAAAAAGTTAAAAAAAAAAACAAAGAAAACCACCTGAATGGCTGATCTTTAGTCTCCAGTTCCTCTGGAGGTGGTGCAGATACAGCATGGCCTAAAGCACCCAGCATGAATGATACTATTCCACTAGTCCATTAGACTATTAGACCTATGGTCCTATTAGCTCAAGGCCTCCTGGTAAACAAAGATATCCTTAACATTCATTCCAAGGGCCTACAAGTTACCTTCCAGCAAAGGGCAAAAGCTAAACCTCTTTCAATAAGGTTAATTCTGAATGCAATCATAAGAAACTATATAAGAAAGACTTTATTTTTACAATTTTGAACTAGGTATCTATCAGTGACCATAACTTGAGTTCTACAACTGTTTGCTTTTTTATGATTGTTCTGTCACATAGTTTTGTATATTTAGGTCAACTGTGGACCCAGAGATTATGAGATTTCTGATGGAAGACTTTTTCATACTTTATTCAGATGAACAGCATCAGCAGTCTTTTGATTTGTATTCCCAACTGCCCTCCAAACCCTAGATGCAGGAAAAGAAGACTTAGGAAAGGTGAAGGTCAACATTGGGGGAATGTAGGTGTTCTTCACCTTCATGTTGGTGGCATGGGCATTTAGTGCTACATGGAAGAAAAGGCTGTTTCTTGACATGAAAAGCGGCACTTGGCTTTCCCTTTCATAAACGATGAAATCTGCCATGCACAGAGAACAGGAATTGTAGAAAACTAAAGAAGTTATGCTTTAGGATTTTATTTTAAGTTTTTAACAGTGAATGTTAAGTTGTTTTATAAATACAAAACAATATACATATCCAGCCAAATTATGGCTGTTTTTTAGGAAAGAAGGAGGAGGATCATGGGAGAAAAAGAAAGGTGAGAGAAATTGAGGAGGACTCATAAAAAGATTGGAAGAAGCAAACTGCTACTACAGAAGGGAGAGAAGGGCCCGGAGACCAAAGAGAAGCCTATAGCGGACTGTGATGGGAGAGAGGCAGGAAGAATAAAGAGGAAGATGGCTGGATTGACCTTATGATGTATTTAGTATTTTCACCATGTATAAGACTGAAATCTGCTCCACGTTTCTTGGATTTTGAGTTGAATAGATTGATTAAAATGATATCATATCTGGGAGATGTTCTCTGACCAGTAGATGTAAAATGGTACCTCTCTCTTCCCATTTTTAACTTGCTCTATTCATTCTTCTTCATTATACTTAGAACTAATTGAATTGACATAAGTTTATTAATTTTTTGTTTCCCCTTCCCGTTCTCAAGACTGTTAAGCTCCATTGGGGCAGAGTTAGTCTTTTTTCCACTGACTCCCTAATGCTTTGGCTGTTTCACATACAGACTATGGTCTCAGTAAATATTTGCAGCACGATGTAATCAATTAATTGAAATACACGTAAGTCTGTAACAATAAAGATAGCCCGCAGGGCTGATTGTTGAAAATACTCAATTGAATGACTCAGCCTTTCTGGGTCTCACTTTCTTCATCTATACAAGGAGAATAAAAATCATACACTACTTTAGAGTTATTTTAAGGACTGAGATAATTTGTTTAAGAAGCACAGGGTATATAGCTTAGTGGTAGAGTGGGTTCAACTCCCAGTATGTCTATTAAATATATAAATAAATAAACCTAATCACGCCCTCAAAAGTTAGGAAGAAAAAAATTTTTTTTAAGTTTAAAAGAATTGTAACTTTTTTTAAAGAAGGGATCATTTGTGTAAAGCTTCTTAAAAAGTTAACGGACATTTTGCAGGCACTTGGAAATTGTTATATTTTCCTTAGTCACTGAATTAAAACGAAAATCAGAGAAGCTGATTCTCTTCAGATCAAAAACTAAAGGGAAAGAATATAAGCTTTTGATCTATTTGAATTCCACCCCAAGTGGGGTAGTTGGGGAATTTGGATCAAAGACCACATTATTCAGGAATATCTCTTGCCTCAATATAATTTAAGTCATTATCTGTTCATGTTAGTAATCACTAAAATGTGCATAACACTGATTCGTTGTAGCACATTATACAAGCATATGTAAACAGATCCCTCTTCATTGTGTAGCAGATATTAATACTGATGGCAACATGGCACCTAACATATAAACTTTTTAAATTTCTTCAGTCAGGGGAGCAATATAAGTGCAAAGAACTGAATGCCAGCAGAAAGTGAAAATGAGAATCTGGCTAGAGAAGTTATGAAGTATGATGTCCAATCTGCCTGAGATGATTCATTAGTCTGTATATCCCACCCAAATCCTATCCATCTGATTTACTGCACACTGATTTATGAAAAGGCGATCATTACCTGAGTGGAAGAGCATAAACAAGGTGTTTTAGCTTTTTCATTGTATTTATATTTGAATTAAAGAAATAGAATTTACTTCTGTAACAGGCCTAATTACAGGAATTCATTACTTACTGTGGACTACCTACCTTTGCTGGGGAAAGCCTGAATGAAAGGATGGCAAAATATCTGTATGTAAATGAGATGCTATAATTAATAAAATCTGGATAATTGGAATGCCTCATTCATTGTTAATTCAAATCCTTCTCCTAAGATCTCTCCCCCTTCTAGACATACAATTTATTTTTCATTTCTCTTTCTGGCATTAATTTCTCAGTAGATAAGGCCTAAGCACTATTTTGGCTTTGGTAACGAACTTGAATCAAACAACTTAGTATAGCTAAGCTGACGTTTGAGAAGTCGCCTTCTGTTGCTGAATCCTGGCCCCTGTACCCTCTTTTCAAATCAAGGTTCAGAGGCAGTTTTGGGGAAGAGGAAAGAATAGCTTTATTTCTTTGCCAGGCAAAGTGGGTCACAGTGGGCTACTGCCTCAGGTGTGAGAGGCTGTTCGGGGAGGAGTGGTAGGGAGTTTTATAGTGAAAATCCAAGCAACAGGGCTTTAGATAAGATGCAGGGCTTCGTTCCTTTCCTCTCTGATACAATTACAGTGGTGTACAGGGTAATCTGGTGACAAGGTCTTCTGTTCTTGGGAGTTCACCAGCCATATCTCCTGACATTCTTGTGCCTGGAACAAAGGGCACTTATAGGAAAGGGGAGGGGGGCGGGCGGTTTACATCTTGGGAAAAGAAAAAATATGTACAATTAAAACCAGATTCAAGAATATCTCACAGTGAGAAATCATTTGAGGTTACTATTAAGTGACCATAATCACTGTGCCCACTGTGCTGTTACACTTCAACATCTGAATTAAGGGGAACACAGTAATTTGAAGCAGTTTCAAAATTAAGCGTACGCTAAAATCACCTGAAGGATCGCTGGGCCCCACCTCATAGTGTTCTGATTCACTAGAACTGGAGGAGGATCCAATCATTTGGATTTCTAAATTATGAAGGTGATGCTGATGCTGCTGGTCCAGGGATAACACTTGGAGACCTGTGCTTTAGGACATGAGGTTTCCTTGAGATGATACTACCAAACAGCCCCACAAAACCGAAAAAACACATTGAGGTTTAAACTGGAAGTGTGTACTGAAAATTAGCACCTCCTCCCCCCGCGCGGCCAAGCTGGGGTGCACACTACAATGTGGGCAGTACATGCCCTGCCTCTGCGGGCTCCCTTCCACCCCTCCACGCCAACTCTCTCATTGGGCCCTCCCGCCACGCCCCTTCCATACCGGCTCCCTCATTGGGCC